TACTTCTACTACTTCTACTACTACTACTACTTCTACTACTTCTACTACTACTACTACTACTACTACTACTTCTTCTTCTACTACTACTACTACTACTACTACTACTTCTACTACTACTTCTACTACTTCTACTACTACTACTACTACTACTACTACTGCTACTACTGCTACTACTACTTCTACTACTTCTACTAGTACTAGTAGTAGTAGTACTACTACTACTACTACTACTACTACTACTACTACTGGTACCTGCTACTGCGGCTACTACTACTACTACTACTACTACTACTGCTACTACTACTTCTACTACTTCTACTACTACTACTACTACTACTACTACTACTACTACTGGTACTGCTGTTGGTACTGCTACTGCTACTGCGGCTACTACTACTACTACTACTACTACTACTACTACTACTGCGACTGCTGCTGCTGCTGCTGCTGCTGCTGCGGTTATAAATGAAACTAAATACGACGAGCAACTGTTGCTATCATGTTCTGGATTCCCTGGGTCCAAATCGGCATCATATGTTGCTAGTTGATGCCAGCACCCTAAACCATAAGCCTTAAGCCCTAAGCCCTAAACCCTGACTTCCCAAAATCCTAAACCCCAGCCGAGGCATGACTTTTTGTCTTTGTTCCCAAGAACCTTCGAGCTCTTCGGAGCTCAAGAGCAGCTGGTGCGGCCATTTCGGAGCTCGGTCTCCAGCGTGGCCGACGGCGAGGAGGAGGTCATGAAGCGCTTGGCCATGGCACCTTGGAGCCCAGTATTTCGGCTTTGGGCTAATAAAACCTAGGGTTCCGGGTCTCCTTCTCTCTCTCTCCTCGTCTCGCTCCTTGCCCCTGCGCTTTGCGCAGTCTGCTTGCCTGCTTGCCTGGCTTGCACCGACAAGGCGAAGCAGGTGGGGGTCGTCCAGGCCCACACTCCCGTCGGCGGGGGCAATCCAAGGCCAGCAGTTTCGGAGCCTGAAGAAACACTTGCGCTCGTCCCTGAGCCTGCGTAGACATACCACCGGTGCGTACATATATACGGGCGTCGCGCATACATTTGCAAAAACAGGTAGAAGATGTAAAGATCGACAGACGGAAACTTCTCACAAAGCCTTTCGAACTTTTCAGTCTCCGCTGGACCTGATGCCGGCTCGGAGCTTCTAGGTTTCGACTTCTGGCAGAGAGAGCTCAGAATGGTATAGGGTTCGGGTAACCCTGGACCCGTAAACCCTAAACCTAGATTCCTAAGTCCCAAACCTTAGATGTGGGGTTCAAGGCGTTCAGGCTTGAGAGGGTGTGATATGAGCGGTTCAGGCTTCGGTGCCTCGAGAGCTGGCAGCGACAACGTCTTTAGGACCCCCCCCAACCCCATTCTAGTCTAAGTCTATGTATTAGGGTTCAGGGTTTAGGGGTCCCCTATGTTACTCGAACCCAAACTCCTCAACTCCTAAGTCAACGGTCAAGCCCTCAGCCCCCGTTTTCCATTTCGTAAGTCCTACACTCTTCGGCGGCCAAAATCTCCACCTAAATAGCCCCAAAACCCCAAACCCCAGACCCTTTGAGTTTCACTGTGTAAGAGGGGCGCCATCTCATGTCAAAGAAGGCCCGCGACCCTAAACTGTAAGGAGTAATCGTTTTCTATTTTCAAAGGCCGGGTCGAAGCACTGGCCTCCAAGCCTGGCAGCACCCTGGGAATTAGATCAGAAGTGGAAGCCACCGGGGACCCATATGGAATTAAGTCCCACAAGACCATCACTATTGTGGTGTTACAGGGACCTACTTCCCTAATAGAAGTACTTGGAGGTTCATGGGTAGTTATAAATGAGGTTATAAGCAGGGTAACTGTACTTATAACCCGTATTAGGGGACTTATAACTCCACTTATAAGTCCCCATGCACCTCCAAGTATATACGCACCCTTAAATGCTGAAGGGGCCAAAGCAGGAACTGCAAACCGGTGCCTTGATGGGGATGATGACTTTCACAGCGATTCTCATTCTTATGTTTAAAACGCTTATCTTTATAATGTCTAGTACAATCTCGGTGGTTGGAATCACCGTCTATCTTTTGTTCTTATTTTGGTAATGCTGCTGTTCCACTTTTTGAACCTGTAACCTAAACTTTGATAGACCTGTGCTCCACAGGCTGTCGGCGCCGACGCCGGCAACTTCTCTGAACAGGGTGGGGCCTCCTCAAAAACTCCACAGAGTTGTTTGGCTTCAGGGTGTCGGATTTAATTTGAATTCTGGCTGAGGGGCCTTGAGTTTGTGGCTAGGAGCCTGCTGTGCCTCCAGCTTCGAGGGCTGGTCAGCTGAGGACATCCTGTACACCTCGGCGAAAGCCTGGTATATCCCCAGCCGTTCCACGCCGTGGGCCCGGCTCGTGTCTCTCTTCTTGCCTGCCGAACCCCCAAGCCCTATAGGCATCCTAGACTCACTGCTGAGGTCACGGAGATCCAGTGCAAGGACGTCGTATGCGTCGCGACCAACTTCTGCGTCGTATGCATCGCGGCCAACTTCAGCGGCCTCCTCCTATCCGAGCCGCCCAGTTAGTCGACCGTTGTCTGCCTGGGACCCCGGCACAAGGATTTAGCCCTACGAGGCAAGCTTTTCGGCTTTCAGGGTTTTAGGGTGTGGACAGAAACAGCGTCCTGCTCACATATGCATATGTACCTATGCATGCACATGTATGTTCATACATATGTAATTTTGTATCTGTGTGCATATGTATGTACACATGTATGTATGTATGTATGTATGTATGTATGTATGTATACATGTTATGTAGATATGTATCGATTTACGTATGCACATCTGTACGCAGGCATACGAATACACACGCAGAGATCACGGTGTCGCAAGTTGAATGCCACTTATGCAAGCTGCGTACAGACAACATACAGTAATACGAAGACCATCATCTTACATGTGCGTACCACATCAGTACAGCAGTGTCTACATGTGTCATACTATCATAAACATACATGCAGGCAGGCAGACTGTACCGGTCCGTCCCTAACCCGTCTAAATCCAAGTGCCAGAACCCTAGTCTTTGAACTTAGAACCCTCAAAGCCCTTGAGCTTAAGCACCCAAACCAAGAAGACTTGAAGCCTAAAAAGCCTAAAATCCGAAAACTTTACGGAGCCTCGACGCCCTACACCTGGAGCGCCCAGGCGCAAACGCGTGGCTCGCCGGCTCGTTGGGCGCCGCAAGAAGGACATACCGGTTCACCAAGAGGTTGCTGTAAGGGTTGTTATAGGCACTACGAAAAGGGCTTTTTGGGGATTCCACAAGGATTACCATATGATCAGGGCTACTTTCAGGGTTATTTTCCTGGCTACAATAAAGATTCCTGTCAGGGTTCCTGTAAGGGTTACTCTAACGGCTGTCACAATGGGTGACTTCAATAGGTGACTTTGAAGTGGTATTGTGGGTAAAGCATCGAAATTTGAGTTATGATGCGGCTGGTGCAGCAGGGCTCGGCGTTGTGAAGCGCCTGAAGCATAGTAATAATAATCATAACTACAATAATAGTAACCATAACAATAGTAGTAATAATTAGTGATAGTGGTAACTATAATAATAATATGGCTAGCTGCTTTTCGAAGGACATTTTGCGAAACTACACGAACGACCTCCTGCTGGAGGAGGTGCGTCATGTCCGATCCTTGATGACTTCATGTCATTTCAGAGTAGCAAGTCTCACTGGGGGTCAACCGTGTAGCCCTACCTGTCCTGGAAATCTGAATCGCTTGACCTCAAAGGAGGCAGAAATCTTGCATTCCATGTCGTACCTAAACCCCAAATCCCTAAACCCTAAACCACTAAACCACTAAACCCTAGACCCCTAAACCCCTAAACCCCTAAACCCTAAACCCCAAACCTTCAGATCTGGCCCAGAGGTCTGGGTGTTGGAGCAGATGTTCCCTGAACTGATGGAGCTTCCCAGAGACTCCAAAATCCCTTAATTAAGGAATCTACCTTAAATTATAATAGGATCCCTAATATGATTTAAGGTAGATTCCTTAATTAAAGGGTTTTGGAGTCTCTGGGTTTAGTTGAATTAGAACAACTTTTTCACTCTGCGCTGGCCAGCACACCAGTTTGAAGAACGGCGTGATGGCAGACTGTGCGTTTCCTAATGTCATGCGCTTGTCGCTTATACCCCGGGTTGAAAGAATCTGGAGTCATGGAATGTTCTCAGGAACTAAGAGCTGTCGCTGTGAGACGGGGCCAACTGTCTCCAAGACCGCCTCTGCTAGTACAGTTTGAGGTGTCAGCTTCCAAAAATAGCTGTGACAATGCAGTGCAAGGTATGTGCTTCCAAGTCCCAGTGGTGTTATTTCGCAAGCTTGCAGAGGCTGAATCGACAGCCATCGATAGGGGGCCTTGAAGCGCCCAGTACTCTTGATCCCAGAGCAAGACTGGAGATGAAAAAGGAAAGCCTGCAGACGGCCTGGACGAAGCAGACTGAAGGGCTTTGGGATGCAACGCATTTACGGAGTGGCGCATGGATTCAGTGCTGGCTTTCTCGAAGCTGCTTTGGGCATCAGCCTTGCAGACCGGCACCATGCGAGCGTGTCTTTTTCCGCAGGCTGCAGCAGCTCTGCGCGACGTTGGCGACACCCGGGGTGAGGCCTAGGGCAGACGCACGAGGTGGGGGGGGGCTCTTCCTTGCCCTGTTTCTGTGCAGGCTTTCGCTCTTCTTCAGGAGGTCGGCTCTGCCTATCTTGACAAGAATGAGGCCAGGACTTCTGCAATGATGCTAAGACCAGTCGGGAACCGTCATGCATCCAGGCCTGCATGTGCTACAGTCGAGCCGTTATTCTGCGATTGCTTTCCGTGTCCTCGGAGAACCCTTGGAGGTGGACTCGGCGCTGAGAGTGGCGTCCGCTGCATTGCGGCAGCTGCGAACCTGCGAGGATTTGTCCGGCGAAGTTACCGCACTCAAGGCGATGCCATGAACTTCCTAAGCCCCATCAACCCGTTATGCGAAACAGCTGCGTGCAAGCTATGACTCGTGAAGGCAACCGCGGAGATCCACTTGACTCGCGGAGACACCGAGCCTGCGCTGCGGTTGCTGCAGGAGGCCACAGAGAAAACAGGAGAACAAAAACCGAAGCGTCAAAAATGTCGGAAGACCAAAAATTTTGTGGGGCCTGCAGGTCGTGAGCCTCTGCCGAGACTCCGGGGACGTCGAGGACCAGGTGGACGCCTTGATCCGCATCGCGCGGCTCTGGGTCCTTCGGAGCGAGCCGGAGGAGGCCACGAAAGCGGCGAAGGCCGCGCTGGAGGCGGCGCAGGCGGCAAAGAAGGACCTGGCGGAGGCGCAGGCGCTTCTGGGCCTTGCCGGGGTCCTGAAGGCCAAGGCGGAGCTCGCTGGAGCCCAGACGGAGGCCGGCAAGGCGGAGAAGCTTTTTAAGAAGTGTGGCCATCGACCCGGAGAGCTGGCAGCTCTGATGCTGAGCTGGTCCGCCATGGTCCAAGAGGGGCCTCAACAGGTGGCTCAAGTGGTCCAGGCAGCCAAGAAGGCGGCAGAGGCCTTCAAGTCTGCTGGCGACCAGCAGTGTGCGGCCGAGGCTTTTTTGGAAGCCAGCGCTGCCAGCAGGGAGCATGGGCAAGTGGAGGAATCTGCAAGCACGGCTGCTGCTGCCTTGCAGCTCTTTCGCCAGCCTAGTCCTCAGATTTTCCAGATGTTTCGCCAGACTAGTCCTCAGATTTTCCAAGAAGGACCCAAGTCAGCTTCGGTGGTGCTGGAGGGGTACTTGCACGATGCTCCACGTTCTCCCATTCGCTTGCTTTTGAGGCTGGGGCACACGAGCGGCGAAGTCAAGGCAAGCTCGTCATAGCCAGTAAAAGGGGGAATCAGCGGGATTGAGTTGTCTGTGCCTGAAGGTGAAGGCACAAGGCAGGGATGGTGTCGCATGGAGCCATGAGCAATGAAGACCAGTTTGGAGTAGATGGAAGGGCTCCTGTCTACCAGTCTACCGCTGTATTTATGGCCAATGACCCCCGATTCGTTGGCATCTCTCCTTGCATCGACTTTCAAGCATGCAAAGCTCTCGCCGGCGCTCGCTGGCAGAGGCACTTGGTGCAGTGTCAGCAGCCGAGCGGGCCAGGTGCGTGGCTCGGGGGCAGCTGATGTCACGCTCAAGACGCATGGCAGATGGGCTCATCTGGGTGCTGAGGAGACCTGCGACCCTGTTAGGAGCTCGAGTTATAATATCGTACAGTGTGAAGAAGATGCTCGAATACGGCATAAACGAATACGCAGGTAGTTAGGGCCCTATGCTAAGTCTTACAACCCACCACAAAAGCAACCCTGAACCCTAAACCCTAGCAGAACCCCTTGGCCCTAAACCCCAAACCCTACCCCCAAAAAATGCCAGGGGCCGTGTGGCCGAGAGCGTTAAGGCCGCCGTGGACGTCGTTTCTGGGTCCTTTTTGAGGAATTTTGTGTGAAGTTAGCATAGTAAGGAAACCCCATTATTCACAAAAGATGCCTATTGTGGTCCTGCAACCCTTACAGAGCCCTTAACTTAAGTTCCTTAACAACAGATCCTAAACCCTAAGCCCTATTAGCTGGAACTTTCTCTATGGTTTACTGTAGATCCCTATTATCGAAACCCTAAGAAACCTAAAAACCCGAAACCGTTAAGTTGCCCAAACCCTAAACCCTAAACCCTAAACCCTAAACCCTAAACTCTAAACCCTAGACCCTAAAAACCCTAAACCCGAAACCGCCCAAGTTCCCCCAAGAAGAGCCCAGGTTTCTTTGTACCAGCGAAGAGGGGACACCCGGGGCCAGGCCAGTCTCTGCGGGCCTTGGGGCCCTACTTGGAGGTTCATGGGTTTAGGGTTCA